GTATGTGTGTGTGATTTGGTTCATGGAGCTATAAGGCATCAAGAGAGGTACCTAGAAGCATCAGGACTACTAGGAGATCATACTGTTTGCCTGTTTGCCTGTCCTTTATTCTGTTTATGGTCAACTCTCAAGCAAGTGATCCTGAAAGGAATACTGTCATACTAATGCATAAACCAGTCTTTAAATAAACAGGGTGGAAACAGTATTGATGCTTTTGAAGTAGGTATTGAAACTGATTCTTGAAAACACTGTGAACAGCTAATGCAATAACCAATAATTGGATCATTTAACAAACCAGTCCATACTTCTCATTTAAGTCACAGATGACCATGCTCAAATTATCCTACTATGGACACTTTACTATGGACACTTTTCAAGGAACCCAGTTCCTTGAAAAATGCTGGAAATACTGGGAAAGGTGGAACGGAAAAGAAGAGAATGACCAGCAGTAATGTGGATGGATTTAGTAATAGTGGGGATGGGTACACTGGTGTAAGACCTGAAGCACCAGACTAGGGACAGATCATCATGAAGAAAATCTCCCTTTGTCATGGCTAAAAGTCAATGCCAACGTTATAGTCCATAATCAACATGCATAGGCATCTTATTCCAGGGGTCTTCAGATCAGTCCAATAAAGAAAAAGCATGCTTAGTGATTTAAAAAAAAACTGTGCTGGGATTAGGAAGCATGTAATTAGGGATGAGCGAATGGAATGAATCCAGGTGCCAATCATATTGCAACATTTTATTTGAGATCTCAGTGTCTTCTCTACTTGCTAAATTTGCAAAGGACATTAAAAAAAACCCAAGGCAAGGCTTTCTCTTTCGCTCTCTCTCATAATTACACAAATGCAGCAACCTTGCTCATACTCCGAGAATGAGTAATAAGACTACATACAGTTTCCTTTAGATATATATATTATGCTTATGTTATTAGAGACTTCCTGTTATAGCAACTGTGCACCTTACTCTGTTTTGAGAGGCTTCACACTTGACATTCAAACAAATGCTTTTTGAACAGTGTTTTGTCCTACTTCCAGTTCATGAAATCACAGAGCTACACACATTCAGAGGAAAACAATGATCTTGCTATGAAGGGGCTGAACATCACTACCCAGTTCCGGTACACAAGAAAAGAAAGTTTTCCATATTATAATTACTTTGGCATGGCATGCCAAGTCATAATCGGTCAAAATATGGCTTACTGAATTAATCAAGGTAGGCTAGTTCTTTCAGTTCAACAAACCATAAACTATCCTTTCCAAGCCATAATGGCAAAGGTTACACAGCAGATAAGATACTAGGCTTACAAAATTACATTTTGTCTGCCATAATCAATATGACCCTAAAATGGCAGCAAAGAAACATAAAACTCTCTCTCTTTGCTGTCTTTTAGTGGTTTACTAGATTTTGTAAATGATACATGGTCGCCATAATTTTATTTAATGAGTCACTTAGTACATTTCCAAGTTGAGAGGAGTTACAATAAAAAAGAGATTGCCTAAGCAACCTGTCCTTAATAGAACAATAGGTAGGGAAACAGAGGAGAGTTGGTGTCTGGATCCCGCCCCCTAGAATTCTATAAACAGGGAAAGTAGTGACACACTTGCTCTGCCTCTCACACAGATGCACAAACCCAATTTGGAAACATCCTAAACCTTCTTCTTGATAGCCATCAGGTACTTAACTATACATTTCCTTAATCTTACCCTTCTTCTTGTTTTTTTTTTATGATTAGCACATTGGAAAATGTGGAAAGATAACAGCCCAAACATAGTAAATATCTTATACAAGGCAGTGCAATTTTGCATGCACATATGCACATACTTTGAATGGCTGACAGTTTCTGCCACATGTTTGGCATTTCATAGTGTAGCTACTCCAGGACTTCAATATAAAAACCTACACCCTCCTTTCAGAATCTCTTAAGAGACAACCAAACTTTCTTCAAGAGAAGCAGAATTGGCATCTAATTTCAGGCATGAGAGAATACTATTTGTTACCCCCAAAATCTCTAAGCAGTCTCAGGCTTTTAAGCTAACAATTTCCTCAAAGACAAAACTGGCCTCTTGGGTCCTGGAAGAGAAAGATGCCACCTCAAAAGGTGGCAGCAACTTCCTAACAAGGTGACATGGCTGGAACTTTCTGTCCCCCAGCTTATCTAGTATTTTGAAGCTGCATTTTGGTTTGATGGCACTTCACTGTGTGACAAAACAAAATCAAATGAGGGGAGTCAAATGCAGAACTCAGTGCAAATCCTAATCCCCCACAGGGTTCTCCCATGGAAGGGCAGAGTAGAAATATGTGTCTTTATAAAGGTGGCATATTTCTCATTCAACCAGGGAGGGAAATGGTCATTGATGTGTCTTTGCAGTTGTTGAAGATCCTGAGATCATCTGGTCTATTTCTTCAATGCTGAGTCCTCAAGGTTGAAAAGGTGGAAAATGGTCTCTCTTAGGACTCAAGTTATTGTTGCCAACCTTGGCCATTTTTGTATGAGAGGCCAGGCCTGAAGCTCTCTCCCTTCAGCAGCCCAGGTCCTTAGAATCACATGTTATGATGTTCACTGCTGCCAGATGAATCATTTCCAGAGCCAGTCAAGCCGTTTGACCAAGGTTTGGCAAAAACTGTTAAGCCTGAAGCAAAAAAAAAAAATGAGAATGATCAGCTCAGGATCCAAGAAACAAAAGGCAGTATCATAGAAGAAAAAGATTAGGAGGTTAGCTGAGAAATCTGGTATCTAGCCAAGTAATCTTTTGGAATAAATGGGAGAAAAGTATAGACATGAGAGATGAATGCTCTGATAAGCCCTTCCTGAACATCCTTTCCCATTGAACTAGAATTCTAGGAGTTCTAGCCCCAACACATCTGGAGGGAAAGAGAAGGGCAAAGCTGCTTTAAAGGATATTTCACCCTGCTGTGGCTATAGCCACACGCAGAGGTTTGCACTACGAAGGACCGAGGCTTACATGAGGATGATGACAACGACAAAAGATTTTGTCTGTTTTGAATATATAGAAAAAAATGACCCAATTTAGAGATTCTCTGCTCTGCAAAAATCTGGACAACAACTAGACAGAAACAAAGAGAGTGTTTGATGAACAATACACTAATTGACTAATTAAAGGCTGTGCACCTGCTTTTAGGACACCTGTTCTTCACCTGCAAAGGAAGGTTCATCTCCTTGTTGCTGCACCTGTTGCTGTGGTTTGTGGATATTCTCATACCAGTCTGAATCTCCAGATGAGGTGCTATCACTGTCTTCAGCTGTAAGATCTGTTGGAGAAAACCTCAAGTATTTGAATGGAATCATAGAGCTACATTTTTTGCCCTTCTGAAGCACCCATGCAGTGTCCTATGAGTGCTGCCCACTGGCTGCTAAAGAACTCTATGATTTTGATCAATGTTCCTCCAGCTGGTTAATAGGAGATTGAAAAAACAAAAACAAAACAAAACCAACAACAACAACCTGTGATCTGACCAGCATTCTTCACCAAAGCCCATTTATTTGGTAGCAAGGAAAACAATGTTCCTCAGATACATCTGAGAGAGTAGAATAAGAGCAAAGAGACATTGTCCCTTGATTTCAGGAGGGAGGGAAAAAATTCAGGATCCACGAGGCAAGAAAAAAAAATAGGAGTTCCCATAAGTAAACTCCAGTTCAGAGAAAATGATGCAATACTGTACTTTATTTGGAGCACTAAGCCAGAGGTTCATTAACATTGTAGAGGCTTGCTGAAAAATAATAGTCACATGGGAATACAGGAGTGTAATGTCACTCCTGAATCAGCATAGCCCATAAGTGTGTGTGGAAGGGACGATTATTAATTTATTTGTGTTCCTTTACACCCTTGTCCCAAACTGGTTTTCTCCCAATATATTGGACTTCATTTTCCATCATTTCAATCTTACATGGCAGCTGAAGTCCCAAACATTGGGAGGGCACTAACTTCAAGAGGGCTGTTGCACATTCATCTTCCTAGCACTTGCGTGCATTTTCTTAATACTCCTGGAAATAGGGAAGTGAATGTAGAGATGATTGACTGTAATATGAAGGGGGAATGGAAAACAACAACAAATATTCTAGTCATGGTCATCCTCTTGGCAATTTCTATTGAGAGGTATGCTTCCTCAAATATTGATGAAGTAGATAATCACCATGATTAATATCTATTGATAGTTGCATCTAACCTCTACTACATTTCATCAAATGAGGATTTTATTTGATAGGGCAAATCAGCTGAATGAAGCCTGACTATGCTCAATAGCAAAAGAATAGTGACTGATTATTGTTCCGGGGTCATAAAAATGGAAGGGGGGCAGGGGGGGCAATAATACACATACAAGGATTTCTGCTAGTTGTCTATTTAAAAAAAGCCAGTATCTGCTTAGCTTATTATTTGTCTTTACATGTCTTCTCTTGACAAAACAGTTACTAGCACCTACTTGGCTCAGATTATTCATTCATAGTTAAAATTGAAAAATCATCTCCTCCTCCCCAATAAACCTGAAACCCAAAATAATGAAGTCAGGGGCTTTAGCAATCTTTGGAAGTTTTTTAAAAAAAATATTTCTCCCTAAAGCCTTTAAGTATTGCATGTGAGAACTGATTTTATTTGTAAATGATGGGGAAACCTGTATCAGCATTTCCAAACTTGTGTCTTTCAGATACATATTTGGACGGTGTAGACTGCAGTTTCAGGCAATATGGTTAAAAGCTGGGAAACTGAGTGAGCTCCAGTGTCTTAATGTATCTGAACGGCAAAGACTGGGAAACACAGATAACAGTATAAGGTAGTAATAACACCACAGCATAGATTCTCCCAAATGTTATATCAGAACCTGAACCAATCTGATCAAACTGGTGAGCTGCTAAGGACAGTTTTACACAGCTATTGTTTTCACTTTTCAAACTCTTGGACACTATTAGAAAGTAATCTATGAGGATTTTTGTTTTTACTTCTGCCCATTTGAAATGATGAAGACAAGAGATAGAAATCATTGTTCCATCCTAAAGTGCTATGGATTGGAAAAATGTTGTCGTACCAAACACTTCACACAACAGAGAAGGAAAAAGAATTAAAATAATAATAATCCAGGAACTTGGAATTAGCTAAACTGGCCGAGTCCTGAAAAACAACCAATGGATCCTCATCCATCCCAGAGGGTATAAAATGTGGAAAGCTATCTGGATATAGTTACAGCCAAGAAGAACTGGATATGGTACAAAAAAATAAAAACTGACTCTCACCCGTTTGCCGATAATCCTTAGGACGTTTGGTTTCCTGGCGCATTGTCAGTTTGGGGAAATTGTGGGGTGGTGAAACTTGGTCGCCAGTTGCTTGATAGTGAAAAGAAGCTGAAAACAGAACCATAGTCCATTAAACTCTTAGAAATAGACCTTGAATTAGGTTGTCACACCCTTGCTTATTTCCTTAAAAGTTTTAGAGCTGGGAGATAATATCACTTTCAGGAAATGAGCTATTGCCCAAGCCTTGTGATTGTACAGTTAAAACCCCATTTAACATCAGGCTGCTGTAGATCTTTAAACATATCAGATTTCTGATAACACTTGTCAATCTGCAGCATTTGCAAGGAATCGCCGTCCATCAGAATTGTCCTTTTCTGGTGAGATGTAATGCATTTTGTCTGCTAAGGGAGATATTGTGATGGACTACAATGAAGTGACAATTTCCCAGAAAGGAGGGAGCACATTCCAAAAAGGGAAACAAGACAACACAGCCTGGAGTGGGCAGGGAAAGAAAGGAAGAGATTTAGGATAGTCCCTTCATAGAATCTCCTAGAGTATATCCATTAGTGTTAGACTAGGATAGATTTAGCCTGGCAAGATTCTGTCTATTTGGTGTGAATCAATAAGTAAAGAACTGAATTTGACTGGACCTAGGTCCAGATTCTAGGTCACTTTGGGCTGTGCCTGACATCAGCAGATAAACTAAGAGATCTGGTGGCCAGCAAGGAGTGTCTTGTCATGCTCCTTCAGTTTTTTTTATCTATAAATAAAAATAGAAAAACTGTTTGTGGTGCTCATCATGCTGACTAGCCATCAAATCCCCTATTCCACTAAGAGTTTTGGTCACTCTATATGGTTGAAGGCAAGGCATGCTGGGTATTCTTCTTAAGAACTGCACACTGTAATCCATGCAACAGAACCTAATAAAACACTTTTGCAGCAAGTTATACTGTTTGCTTATCAGACAGAGTGCTCACAATTGGCACTGGAAATTTTGAGTAGTTCAGAAAACTCACCCACCAAGTCACTCCCACAGAACAGGTAGTAAAAAAAATTGAATCCCACCACTGGCGATATCAGATTATTATATTTAGGTATAATTTCTGCATCATTATTTACTGATGTCTGAAATGTGTCTTAAAGACAGTTGTATAATTGCCAGGAAATAAGGCCCTTTCACATGTTTTGCTCTGACTGTGTGCACCCAAGATTGGGGTTAAAGTAGAGATCTGGGAAAGAAGCAATTATTTGGGAAATAAGGCCTTTTTTTTCTCTAAACCCAGGAAGAACACCTTCAGGACTGAAATAAAAATACTTCTTGTAGCAGTTTGAATAGAAATCCTTCCTTGGATCTTTTTCATCATAGGAACTACAGTGAAGGTTAAGCCTGAGTTTTGAATAAAAAGGATCTCACAGACTGCCTCAATCTTTGGAACAACACAACATTCAGGTGCATATAAGAGGGGAGAAAGATAGCCATGGGGGATTGCTCACTGTAGAAATTAGAGAAAGGCACAGGGGGCTTCTTGCTGAAATCATAGTCTTCGTAATCAGAATCAGAGTCTTCATGGGCTGCTGAAGGGGTCACGCCTGTTAATGGAAGAGAGAACAGAAACAACTGTCTGAGGAAACCAGCAGAGTTTAGAAAAGGCAGCACCTAATATACTCTGCTATGGTGTAAGACTGGAGTCATGATTTCAAAACAAATCTTCATTATACAGGTATACAGGTATACAGATAGCTAAAAAAAATATTTGTAAACCGCTTGGAGAGGGCTGAAAGCCCTATGAAGCAGTATATAAGTCTAATAAATAAATAAATAAATAAATAAATAAATAAATAAATAAATAAATAAATAGCCCTCGACTTACGACCACAATTGAGCCTAAAATTTATGTTGCTAAGCGAAACATTTCTTAAGTGAATTTCCCCCCATTTTACAACCTTTCTTGGCATGGTTGTTAAGCGAATCACTGCAGTTGTTAAGTTAATCACAGGGTTGTTAAGTGAATCTGACTTCCCCATTGACTTTACTGTCACAAGGGAGATTACATGACCATGGGACACCGCAACCGTCATAAATATGAGTCAGTTGCCAAGTGTCTAAATTTTGATCATGTGACTATGGGGATGCTGTAACGGTCATAAGTGTGAAAAACAGCCATAAGGCACTTTTTTTTCCAGTGCCACTGTAATATGTAATTACCAAATATGATCATGGATAGTAACAAGACACACACACCCCCGACGTGCTCATAAAACTAATTCATTTGAAGGAATTTATCAATATTGTGAAACATGGATTTCAAAAAAACTCTAAAAAGCTAGTTGGATTATCAAGGATTTTCTTTTTAGTGTTAAGCACTTTTACAATTTTTATGATCGCTGGAGGGGATTTTATATATGTTTATTGTTATTGATTGTTTTATCAGATGCTGTTTGAATTCACATCAAAGGGTGTCATTTAACACTTTGTGTTTACTATTGTATTATGTGCTGTCATAGACGGATGTGTCAGGACAATGCAAATATACATTTGATATGAGCTAAATATCCAGAGGTTTTACGTATCTCTCCTATTTTTTTTCCTTCATAGCATTTTTCCTGAAGATGCCGGGTGCACGTTTTCGGATCAACCAAGTGGTGGTTCATTGATTGTGACAAGAATTGACCAACTTGCATCGCCTGAGTGTGTTATTATCTCTGATAATATGTTGAAACAAAAGGAGACTTGTGGCATATTAACATTTAATCCTACTGAATCCAGTGAAACTCAGTAGATACCAAAGCACATATTTTCATGAACATTTCTTGTTCATTTTTTTGTCCACCAGTAATTTCAGAAGGTTATTTTGGCCATTAGCTATGCCTGTACTAGTGCTACAATCATAAGAATATCCTCAAAATCATTCTAAATTATGCATATGCACAGTTATGCATGTGTGCCTCTGAGATAGTTTCGGTTCCTGGGGAGCACCTGGGCAAATCCCTGCAGTTTTCTTGGCAATATTTCACAATAGGTTTGCTTTTGCCTGCTTCCTAGGGCTGAAAGAGAGACAGAATGGTCCCCCAGTTGGCTTTGTGCCTAGGGCAGCACTAAAACTCACAGTCTCCAGCTTCTAGGCTGGGGCCTTAACAATTACACTAAACTGGATCTCATTCTGCATGATATAACACTGCAGTATTCATTTAACAGTTTAGCCATGTTTTAATAGATGTTTGTGAGTCTCCTAGAGTCACAGTATGAGTTAGGTAAACATATATAATAAACAAATGGAATTGTTGGTTAATATTTATGTAATTGAGGTTGATTAAGAAAAGTTCACTGAATTTGCCTATATGAATTTGCTGTTGGGTAAATATTTTTTGACCAGAAATTGAATTTATATTTGGTCTCAGTTGTTTTGCTTGTATTAATGAATGTATTCCTTATATATTTCCTCTATTTATAAAAAATTCTCCTTGGATACATCATTGAAAATAGATGATTAAAAGGATCTTATGTTTTTATATTTGCTCTCCAGAATCACGTTGCCTACGTTAGGTAGCCATATCAGTGCTTCAAACAAACAGCAGATACGGATTTTAATAACAATTTAATCTGTGTAATTTTAATGTTTTAATTATTTTTTACTATTTTTATAACTTGCAAGTCACCCAGAGACACCTTGCGAAGGGAAATGGGCAGCATACAAATTTAAGAAGTAAAATAAAAAATGATCTTCTGTATTGTTCCCCCCCCCCCCAAACATGCATAAAGCCAAGTATTCTAACAGAAAAGAACATTAAGCATTCTTTGAATTTAACATGCATGAGTTTTCAGTTTTTGCAGATGATGATGCCTGGAGTTGAGGATAGAGCTGAACAGTGGAGATTTTCTACCCAGACAAATGCTAACTTAAAAGGACAGATTTTCCCTAAGAATCACAAAAGTTGTTGGTTGGCTTGTTTGGCTGCTGGTGTCCTACAGCCCACTATGGATGACCAGGTCTGATGAAATTCTAGCCTAATTGATCAGAGCCAGCAAAAAACTACTTGTTTATAGCAAACAGAAGGAAAAAAGTGAGGAGAAAGATAGTAAAGATAAGGCAGGCAGGCAGCAGGCAAGAGCTTTTGATACCTTCTGTTTTGTGGACGCTCAAGGAGACATCCCCTCCAGTGGTTAACTTCTGCACCATGTGATTCATCAGGATAGGGGCTGATACTGGAGCAGAAGATATAACACAATCTGCAAATAAAATGCTCACTATATAAGATCACTGGGAAAAGCCCCCCCCCCTCGTCTCTTCTTTTACCCACAGCTTTTCTTGGTATCTGAGGACCCATCCGTAGTAAGATCATATTCATTACATACATCTGTCACAGATCTATGTATTCCACTCCGACTGTGCTTGCTACTTCACTATCTGCCTGATTCCATTGAAAAGCACATGACAAGAGACGCCAGACACTACTAGGCTGAAGGTGATTACAGCTAAGCAGCACCTTGACTTTGATTTCCAACTGGAGCTTTGGAGCAGAAACGGAGCACCTGACTGCTTGCAACATGCTGAAGAAGCTGCAGCCCTTCCTGGAATATTAGGGCTATGTCACCTGGCTGCTTTAAGGTGGTCTGCATGGGTGCCTTTACACTCCCATAAGATCTAAAGCATCGTTTGGCAATTAAATCCAAAGTGTTGCACAACCTTAAGCAGTACTGATTTAAAAAAAAAACCCATCTCTTTTATCTCTGTCTTCCAATACAAATAACTCTGATTGTGCAGATATGATAAACTGGGTAATATAAAGGACCCTGAGAACTAGTGACTGCATTAAGTAGATCTGTAGAAAGGCTCTCAGCCTCTTGACTAATCAAACCATATGCACTTTCTTTCAGCAGATTGAAATTTCCATTCTAGCCTAATGGAGGTTTTCAGAAATGGCACACCTAACAAAAGCTCTGAGCTTATGCTGTTGCTTGTTAGCTGTAGGAATTCTTAGCAGGGAGCCTTCACAATTACTTTGTTTCTGCAAAAAGGGAATTGGTCTCGTGTTTCAAATCACAGTTTATCCCAGCTTATTTAGCCCTCTACATAAGCTGGCATTAAAAAACCCATCCCACCATAGCTCTGACCACATTTTAATATGTTGCTCTCTCCTTGCTTTTTAATCATAATATTAATTGGTTTGTTTTTATATTACTGTTCCATAGCAGTCTTTTTTTCTTGTAAGACATCCAGAATTATATTTTGTGAGATGTGCAGCCATATAAATATGACGAATGATTGAATGAATAAACAAAATATTTCTTCTAAGCCATTTCCTCCCCAGCACTTGTGATCCCCACTACATGAAATGTACCATTTTTCTTCTGTCTTTTCAGCAGAAGGATAATAATAATCACAATGCTCAGAAAAAGGAGAAAACCCAGAATGATGCAGGTGGTCTGCAGGTTCCGATCTGGTGATGTTGGTTTCAGGTCTTCAGGAGTTGTAAAAGCTGCAAATGGAACATTTGATAGAAATGAGAAAATGGAAGAAAAAAACTGCTTTCTGAAGCCGTTTACAGGTAGTCCTTGACTCACAACCATAACTGAGCCCACAATTTATGTTGCTATGTGAGACATTATTTAAGTGAGTTTTGCCCCATTTTTATGACTTTTCTTGCCTCAGTTGTTAAGTGGATCACTGCAGTTGATAGGTTAGTAAGCTGGTTGTTAAGTGAATGTTGCTTCCCCATTGACTTTGCTTGTAGGTAAAGCACATGACCACGGAGATGCTGCAATGGCCAAAAGTGCTCTTAATGGTCATAAGCAGGGGTGGGTTCCAGCAGTCACTACTGCCAGCTCTCTCGTGGCTGCTCTGCGCGTGCATGTGCTTGATGTGTGTCCTGCGCACATGCACAGTACAATAAAATTTGTTCTGCACATGCGCAGAAGCAAAAACCAAGATAGGCGCCACCCAGAGAACCACTTCAGGGGCGTGGCAGGCCTGGGTTGCTGCCGATTCCAGCGACCCAGGCTGCGAAACCACTAGCAGTTTGGCCAAATCAGTCCGAACCGGTAAGAACCCACCACTGGCCATAAGTCATTTTTTTCAGTGTCATTGTAATTTCAAACGGTCACTAAAAGAACTATTGTAAGTCAAGGACTATCTGTATGTGTGTGTGTGATAGGGGAGATTGGTGCAAATCTCTCTTCCAAAAATATTGTTTTATTTTTCTACTTCAGTCCCAGTGTGCTTTAAAAAATATTTAAAAGGTCTTTGGGTGATGTTTTGGAGCTTGCAAGTTATCCAAGGATGCTGAGGTGACAGCATCTTTCAATGCATACCTTCTCTATCATAGCATAGCATAGAATTAGCATTTACAGCCCTCTCTAAGCAGTTTACAGAGTCAGCCTATTGCCCCCAACAATCTGGGTCCTCATTTTACCTACCTCGGAAGGATGGAAGGCTGAGTCAACCTTAAGTCTGGTGGGATTTGAACTGCCAAGTTGAAGGCAGCTGGCAGTCAGCAGAATGCAGTACTGTATTCTACTCATAACATTCCTGATCGGAAAATAGTTAGTGGCAATACTCTCATATATATTTTCCTTTGCAATTTAGCTGGAGCATGGGAAGATAGGGACTACCAGTTGTCAGAATTCAGACC